AAAATTACACGTGTCTATGGAAGTTAATTATTAAAAAATTAATATCTTTTATTGATGTTGAATTAAAATGGACATCGCGAATCTTAAGCACACGCAACAAAAAACGTTAGTACTGCCGGAGCTTTAGTTCATATTACATTATTGCAGCTTTGATGCTTTAAGCGCGCCGGCTTTTTACTTTTAAAAACGCTTTGAAAATATTTAGCCTGAGGCACCTCACTTCTGACGTCACGCATATCGCTCGAGAAAAAAGATAAATTAAAAATTTAGATATTATTAAAATAAAGATACAAGTGCATAGGCTGTGATGTGCCTCATGTTTGGATTTTTACGAAATTTTTGATAATTTTGCAGTATTAATTATCCTTAAAAGCACATCACAAAAGAGGCTAAAGTATCCCGACTTTTGGAAGTTACTGTAACATTAAATGCAAATATTATGACAGTTCTTGCGATAAACTGCTGCGAGGAGGGAAAAAAACTTTTTCTCAAGAACACTACGTACATAGTCAGGAGAAGCACTTGCGCTAAATATTCGTGAAACATTTCTTAGTGCCTTCTATTCTTGGAAGAAAATCTTCCACGATAACTTCCAAAGTTTAAGTACCAAAATTCTCAATATGCTACAGCAAGGTAGTGCGCTTACGGATCGATCCAAGAATAGCAACTTCGAATACGTTGAATGTGTGCCAGATCTCTTAATTTCCATAATTATTGTAATTACCATCCAATTTTCCCATGTTCGTCACATGGCCCGAAATTTTGGCAATAAATTTTCCTCATCACGCGAATATGTTGCCTTTAGATCATGTATAGCGTATGAAATACAGGAAGAATAATTTTGCTGAAGTATCTAAAAATTTAGTTAGATGCAAATTTGAAAATAATTTTGTTTTGAACCATCAAAATAATTATGTAGGACGCTCAAATTAGTTGCTAGAACGTTAAAACTTTTTACAGCATTGTCATCAACATCCTCGCTTAAGCGTTCTAGCTTTATAATTATTTTAATAGTCCAACAAAATTATTTTAAAATTAGTACTAAAAAAAAAAGAACGAAGGTTTTGCTGGAGAATCTAAAATTTTAATCAAATATATACAGATCTGAAAATAATTTTTTTTGGACTATCAAAATAATTATGTATGTTCCAACTGTTTATTAGAATGTTAAAATTTTTAGCAGCATTGTCATTAAAGTTTAAACATTCTATATAATTATTTTAATGTATCAACGAAAGTATTTTTAGATATGTACACACAAAGAATTGTTTTGCTGAAGAATCTAAAATTTTAATTAGATACACAGATCCAAAAATAATTCTGTTTGAACGATCAGAATAATTATGTAGGATGTTCAAGCTGTTTGGTAGAATGTTAAAACTTTTAGGAACATTGCCATCAAAGCTTAAGCATAATTATTTTGATGATCCAAATAAAATCATTTTCAGATCTGTGCCTAATTAAATTTAGTTTCTTTAGCAAAATTGTTTTTTTTTCCGTGTACTTAACTAAATTGTTCGATACGTCAACAACACTTGTTGATGTATCGATGATGTAGTTTTTTTTATGTACAAAGAATAAAGTTGCATATGCGGCATTCAACGTGTCGAATGGTAACAGCCATGGTCCAACAGGACTTGAGTGGCCGAAATATGGAACGAAATATGTGCGAGAGACTCTGTCGTTTCACATGGCGTCGCCTCCGTTGTTCTCGACGTGTCACCCGCCACTATGCATTTCTCCATCCCTTTTTTTTTCCACCCCAGCATATACCCCATATTCGCATCTCGTTCTCTTGTAGCACCGTAGAGTAGAACATTGGTTCACGTAGCATCAACCAGCGATTGTGTATCGCCGGAGACTTGGACTAACGATCTTGCATGTGCTTCTTTCAGCAGTCGACCGGTCAGATTTGGCCTCGCTCTACCCTGTACTCTGGAAAACAAGGAGAACGCGAGGCCTTACGTCATCCGAGAAGATGCGGACGGCGACTCCGGCGACGGACAAGTCCTCTACAGGGATGATTACGACGATGAGAAAAGTAAGTTACTCCGTTATCGATTTTATCGACACGTTTAACCTGCGAATTACCTGTCATGGAAAGAACGATTTTGCTAAAGTATCTAAAAATTTAACTAGATATATATACAAATCTGAAAATATAACTTTGTCGAACCATCAACATAGCAATTCACTGAAAAGTCTGGTAATAATAATCAAGCCTAGATGATAGTTACTAAACCGTAAAATAATTTCAATCAAATATATTCGATTAGTAATTAAAACCAACTAAATGCTATTTTTACTTTTTTCCAATATTATTTTACTTTTCTATAAATTATTATCGAACGATTGATTATTAATTATTATGTGATTGGTAAAATTTACTAAATATTTACCTGTGATAACTAAATATTTATTTAGAACTATTCGAATAAATATTTATTAAAATTTAGTGTTTTTTGTCAATGTAGCTATTGCTAGATTATTTTTTTTATGTAGGATGCTGAAACTGATTGTCAGAATATCAAAACTTTTTGCTCATCATGCTTGATACATTTTGTATAATTATTTTGATAGTTCAACAAAATTATTTTCAGATCTGTAACTAGCTAATTTTTTAAATACTTTAGCAAAATTGTTTTTTCCGTGTAGATCATTCCATACAAAAGTTGAGTCATGCGATCGTCACTATCATATCTTGTGTGTATATTCTGTCATATTACACATCGGAAAGCGGTCGCGTATGATACATATATATAGATAGTAAAGAAATTATTAATTATAACTAAAATATTAAAAATTAGAATGAAATAATTGTTTATTATACGACTTGCTTAATTGACAATGAATCATTAATGAGAGATAAATATTTATTATTATTACTCGATATTAATTAGTTTATACAAACTACATAAAATGTATACCAAACAGAGAACATAATAGATGAGCAATATTGCAGCACACTTTACATAATCAATGTGAATGCATAGAATGAATTTTGCAACTCGATTTTTCCTCGATGTTTTGGAACCCGTCCTTGCCTCTGAGCAATCAATTAGGCAGATAGTAACTTTATGTTCCTTCGCCAGTTGTAAATTTGACATTTTGATGGAACGTTCTACGTTGCGTCATAAAAAAAAGAGTACGACGGCGGATCATGCCGATCGATGCGACCCGCGGCTGAGAGTCAATCGCATCGTTTTTCGTGAAAAATAAATATGCTCTCTACTATAAAGATTTATATCAAAATTCCGCAGCAACGAGAGGCTTAAATCGCGCTGCGCCTGTGTGCATAGCGATAAAAATGCGCGGTCACGAATGCAGTTACGCGAAAGCGAGGGGCCATGTTTATTTCACGCCTCCGCTTATGCAATTTTCCATCGAGATATGAGGTTTCAAACTCACCGACGTGATTCAGTTGAATGGACTTCCGAACGAATTCATAAATAGTCTCACACTGCATTCGCGATAACGTTCTCTCTTTTTCCGCATGGGAAAAGGTAGATGCGGCGGACTGCTCTAAATCTCGAGGATACTGCTAGGAAAAAACGCTCTCTAAGTCAGTCGCAGGTGGCAGAAAAACTTTGCGCGGAATGTGGAAATAAAAGAAGTTGGGTGAAACTTAGCGAATGGTCACCTTCAAATATTTACGAAAGTTGAGAAAATTCAAAAGAAAGGGGAAACTCTTCGATGTCATCAAATAATCAATGTAAGCTCTCCTAAAAAATCTAAGATTCATGTTTTCGCATTTAGCACTCTACTCTCTACTGAATAAATTTGTTCGTAATTCATAGTGTTTAGTGCAACATGCTATAGATAATTCGACATCTCGTAAGTTAGCGGAACAAAATGAGCAGAACCAGTTCCAACTGCTCTTTTTATTTGTTGTTTTTTTTATTTGTTATTAAAAAGTTGCCAAAAAAAAAAATTTGTCTACGTATAAATCGGTGAAAAGAATAATCTCTCTCTCTCTCTCTCTCTCTCTCTCTCTCTCTCTCTCTCTCTCTCTCTCTCTCTCTCTCTCGCTGCCAAGACCGGCGCTTCTAGCGCGAACATTTGGATTAAATGTCCACAGGAACATCGCGTTGATTTTTCTCACGATACATCCGCGCGATTACTCAACACTTTAAATCAGTCTTCAGTGACCAGACTAATTATACTCGTGCCAGGTGGCATGTATATGTTTGTAAGCGAACACACTTAGGAGGTAGTTTATATTAATCCCCGAAAATAGCTGGCAAGTAGCTCAGTCTGTAGTCGTTCTTCCATCCGGATTTATCGCTACGCGATTTTCGCTCGTTAAATTTTTATTAAATCGCGTAGGTGTGAACGGTCGTGAAATTGCTTCCTCAAATCAATTGTCGAACCGTAAATTCGTACATCCGCCCGTAGTTTTAGACTTGTTCGCGGAAGGTGTGCTCGAGAGCGTAGTAATTCCCGAAATACGCGACGCAGAATGGCCATTGCGAAGGCTGACGGTAATTAATACTGTCGAATCGACGATTTCGGTCCCTTCGAACACGCTTTTCACCCTGAAATCGCATTCGTAGGAGAGGTAGAGTGAGAGCGATGACACGATGCTGTCGATATGGACCGCGTCGACGATGTCGATCGTCTGCGCCTCAATCGAGTCGGCCGAACACGCCCCGCTGCTGTTGCATCGCAGCTTCAGCTGCTCGTCGATCGTGGAGGGTAATTAATCAGCAATTGCGACGTGCGATCGGACACGAAATTAATTAACATCGACGCGCACTTCGGTCAACGTCTATGCGAAATTCATTCTAGACTTTACATACTAATTCAAATCCATGTAAAAAAGAAAAAAAGGAGGAATCATTTAATTCGTTAAATCAGGATTTTTAACTTCCTTCAATCCACGGCACGTTAATTTAAGAGCTAAATTTCTCGACATCGATGGGTGCACGTGCTTCAGTGCTAAGCATAGATCTTTTATCAGATACCGTTAACTCGATGTTCAGAAATAAAAAGTGATGTTTTAAAAAAAAAATTGAAATTAAAAATTTTCCATTTTATCATTTTTAAGGTAATTGCATTGCAATGATGAGAGATCGCTTTGGTTAAAATGAGAGTGTATACAATATAATTCAGATAATTTTCAGAAATTAAAATTTGAATCGAAAAACCTTATCCTAACTAGATTTATTATAAGTTATACCATTTTACGATATTGAGATGCAGTAATTCGAACAGTGAATTAATGAACTGAACGCAGATTCGATACTTTCTGTCTCGACAGGCCGTTTGGCTGCCAAGATCGCGCGCAAGGAATCACTTTCGCTAAAGCTCGCCCTTAGGCCAGACAGACAGGAGCTCATCAACAGGAACATCCTTCAGCTGCAGACAGACAATGAGAGGCAGGAGACGAAAGAGGCCATCGGCGCCAAGCTTATCAGGTGAGAGACTTGTTCGGCTGTCTATCAAATAGCGTTGATGAATTCGCGTGATTGCATCAGGGATAAGAGGATTTCGAATACGTATTTGCCTATATTTTAAAGGCGAGAATTGCAAATTGGCACGTCGTAATGAATCTTCTACGTCTAATTTAAAATGACGTTTAACTAACAGTCTACTTTAAGGAATCTCGAGGGATCCTCTGGTGAGTTAGGAAATTGTATAAATTTTTAATTGAACAGTCACACTGTCAGTTGATTATGAAAATATAATTACTGTAAAGTGTCTTCGCGTGTAATTTAACGAAAGCTCTGTAAAATCAACAGGAGATATAATATCGATAAAGTTTCATAATCTTTTTGCCGTTTAATATTCGAAATCCGGATTTCTCTGTTACTCCTCCCTTGTCAAAGAATTCATTATTAAAATCATTTTTCGATATTATAATGAAATCACGTATATATAATAATTTCTGGAATATTCGTTTCTTCTCCCCTTTCTTTTTTTATCGATGTCAGTCTGCCGCTGACTGATATCCAGCTCATGTAAAAACGAGCTTGAAATAACAGCTGTCTCTCGTAAAGATTACGCGCGAATAATAGGACGAGTGGTCTCGGCCGCAGTGAATCACATTGTTTGCACAAAGCGGATGCCTCGCTTTCTCCCTCGAATATCTCTCTCACTCGCAAAGGAAGATTAAAGCGGCCGATGAACTTGCATTGACTCTCGTGCCATTTTCATTTCAGGCGGCTGAGCATGCGGCCGACCCAGGAGGAACTTGAAGAGAGGAATATTTTGAAAAGTAAGTCACTCTATTCGTTTCCTTTAATGATGAACGACGATCGAGAAAAAATTTCGACGTTATTTTTTTAATATTATTTTAAAGCTAAATTTAAAAGAAAATTTCTTCAAAGTAAGAAATTATTTACGTTTTAATTCGAAATATATAACACTGTAATTGAATATACTTTTTGCTTTGCCAAATCTAATTGTGAATTAAAATCTAATCCTAATTTTTCTTCGGTCCTTTTTAGAGCAAAGCCCCGCCGAGGAAAAGAAGCAAAAGGAGGAGAAAAAACGTTATCTGCTTCGAAAGCTGAGTTTCCGACCGACCGTTGAAGAGCTCAAGGAGAAAAAGGTAAAAAGATCCTTTGTAAAGTCTCGCGGATTTTTGTTACGTTACCTATTTTTTAAAGATAGAGGTTGGCTGTACCAAAAAAAATATATCGTCGAGTTTAAGTTCAACCAATATTTTATCGTATCTTATTTTATGGAGAAGCTATTTTTTTTCTGATAAGAGTCTCGCGAGCTATACGATAAAGCTATAAAAGCAAAAACCGATATACTTATCTTCTCCCCTTCGTTCTGCAGATTATTAGGTTCAACGACTATATCGAGGTAACGCAGGCTCACGATTACGACAGAAGAGCCGATAAGCCTTGGACGCGGTTAACTCCGAAGGACAAGGCTGCTATTAGGAAGGAGTTGAACGAGTTCAAGAGTTCGGAGATGGCCGTTCACGAGGACAGCCGACACCTCACCAGGTACTTGATGCTTTACGAATTTAATAGCGGCACTACTTTAAAAGCACATTTGGCACCATCTCAGCATTTCGCTAAAATGAATACGAAATATATGCAGTCTTGTAAAAATCAAATTAGAGCACATACAATATAATGAAATCGTCTTGAATCACCAAAACGAAAAATTATGCCCGAT